ACACACGGCTGCATCGTGGCAGCAGGTGGAATGAATGCACGTTACCCACTCAGATTGCTGCCTCTTGGCTGACAGCCTCTGTGAGGACGGCGCGCAGGGCGATTGTGTCACATCGGGGTGCGAATCCGAGAATGTTGTGACGTTGTTTCCTCATCCCCTCCCTTCTTCCATCCATGATGCCGCCTCTGCCTCCCTCCATTATCGCATGCACCTAGTAGTATGTCGCAGTATCCTGCTTCTGCTCGCCGACGAGGCTGAACGAAAGTGAGCACATTCTTTCCCGTGTGCAATGCCAACATCAGCTGTCTGCCATTCCCCCTCCTTGCTCAGCCTCTGCCCTTCCCTCCTACCTTCATTTCCTTTCCATACAACCACACGATGTTCCGCTCGTCTCTCCCACGCACAGGCAACAGCGTGGCAGGGATACGGGCTGCGGAAGCAGCAGTGAGTTGGGGTGTTCACGAGCATCTATAGGAGCGTCAGTACTACTGTACTTCTCTCCCCCCCCCCCCCCCCTCTCACTCCCTACCCCTCCATGCCCTCTTGTTCCCCGTCCCCTCCCTTATTCAGTTCACCCGCATCCTGTTTTGCGCCCCAACTCTCACCACGCTCGCCAGACCCCCTCCCCTTATTCAGAGCTGCTCCTCCTTCCGTCTTCCCTTGCGTCATCCCTCCCACCAACACCCGCTATCATCATTCACCATCCCCACTACACCAGGACCTGATAATGGAGTGGAATACAGCGTGCAATGACCCACCAGCTGCTGCTCCGCACCCCGCCTGCTCTCCTGCTCCTCGCAACCCCTCAATTTTTCTAACTTACCCTCCAGCACCCATGGTTTTCAGGTGTGTCTCGCTGCTGTTCCTCCCAAGTTTCAGCTGCACAGGAAGACGAGTGGGGAGAAAGTGGGTGTGGGTTGGCAAGGAGGTGGCGGGGAGAGGCGAGGTGGTGGTGGCTTGGACGTACAGCAAGCAAGGTGGTAACTTTGCACTCCATGGCGATTAACATTCCTCTCCTCTGTCCGTTTCATGCTTCCACAATCAGCTGATGAGTGTTGGAGCTGGCAGCGTGTTTGTGCCGCCATGCCTGCCTGCCTCCAATGCTGTCCTTGCTGTCTTACATCTTGTCCTCCCCTGCCCTCCCCCATCCCCCACGCCCAGCTAATGCACCTGAGGGCAGACGGGTTTTTGGTGTACTCATGCCTGCATTCGACCCCAACCCCTACCGTACGCATTCTTCCTTCCCTTCCTCCTCTCCCATCACTCAAGTAGCTCCTGCCCTATTGGTGCTGACAACGTGTTGGTGACGCGTGGCACGACCTGCGAGAGATGCTGAGGCAAGGAGAGCAGCGGAGGTGAGCCAAGGAGGTCGCAGACATCAGGCAAGGCAGGCAGGCATGGGGGTACGAGGAGGTCGCAGACGCGGCATGCGTTGTCCCCGGGCATCTTCCGGGCGAATATGAGCCACGAGAGCCACACCCCATGACTGGAGTGGGTGGGTGAATTGGTGATTGCTATGGATGGTGTGTGCATGGTGTGTGCATGGTGTGCGCATGGTAAGCATGATGGTGTGTGTGGTTCACACGTTTGTGAGCACATGAGACGAGTGCATGGTTGACTTGGATCGGAGGTACCTTCCAATATCCACACACCAAACGACAACGTCTACCCTTCCGCTCCCCTTTGTCTCCCCTTCCCCTCCTCCCCTCCCCCGCCCCTTCCTTGCCCCCCCACCAGCTGGACAGCCGTATTGACTCGCACGTGCCACACTTCTGTTTGACCTTCTCCCCACTCCCCATTCCTCACCCACTTTTCCTTTCTCTTCTTACTCCCTCCACCTCTCACCACCTCCCCCCCTTTCCATCCCGCTCGCTCTCCCCCCCCTGCCTGCTCCCACCAGTTTAACAACTGCATCAACTCGTACGTGCTTCATCTCATCTGGATGCAATCCGAGGAGTTGTTCGCACTTGGAATAAGGGCAAATGGACCTTCTCCTATGCTGGAACACTTCAGCCTGCATCGAACCGCACATGCCTCATTTCATTGGAGGCAATCCAATCGCCAATGGCCCTCCACCTATGCTAGAACTTTGCTGCCTGCATCAAATTGCAGGTGCCTCTTTTGCAGGGAGAGTGCGGGGAGAGCGCGACAAAACGTTTTGCATCACCGATGTGAGTGGAGCTCTGAGTGCGGAGGGTGAGAAGACAAGTACACACAGACGCTTGCGTATTTTTTTATATCACTTTTTGAATGTGCATGTTAACAGTGCTAAGTCCTCCACCCCATACCTTGCCCTACCTCATCTCACGTCTCATCCCATTGCCCATCTGACATGACAGGCTTGTTATGGTACGTCAAATGAATAATATATTGTTGAGGATACGAAAATGATGTTTTTATATATATACATATACCTGGAATTCAAGTATTGGACTCGCTTTTGAGCATGGTAATATTGTCTGCTTTCTTTCTTCATTCATAGATATCAATTGGTTCAATATATATTATGGGTGAGCTTCTGTTTGTTATACAATAGCTGTAGAGTTCTTGCTGTGAAGGGTTCCGCGAATCTCGCGGGTCTATCGTTTTTCACAGGCACTTTGGTCTTCCCGCCAAACCTGGCTGAGCCAGACGTGTGAATTCTAGGTTAAGAGAAAACCCCTAGTTGAGGTTCGGCGAGAAGTCTGGGACCAATCACGCTACGGTAGAAGCCTGGGCTTGGCAAAACTCGTTCGGGTCCCGAACTGACCAGCTGCCTAGCGAAATGGTAGGCGACGTTCAGGCAAAACACATCTTGTGGTCAGGCTTGGGACCTTGACGAGCCTTGAGAGGTTTGGTTACACTACAAAGTAGTATGTTTCCGCGTTTCTCGCTGGTTCGACTTTTGCTCCGGCAGCGATGTCATCGCCAGAAGTCGAGCCGCTCACCCTCCTCGCTCGCTCTCTTCCCTTCCCCTCGTCCATTTTCTGCTCTCTTCTGGAGTCTGCCTGCCTGCACTACAAGTCTAGCCATTTGATGCAACCTCTTTCTTCGTCTTTGCTCAGTGTAAACAACACGACTTCCTCCAGAAAAATCCCTTGTTGTGACCACCTCACCTAAGTCCCAAATAGACTTTGAGAACCTTACAAGCCTCACTCTCTGAAACAGTAATTATCAATCTCTTACGTACACTCCTCGCCATGGACATCTGGATGGCCAAGCCGTCGGCCTACACCGCTTTCTCGTGCAACTCGTTGGCCAAATCGACCAGCGAAGGCCGATCCGAAGCGCCCGAACACGAGAGCAAGTTAGAAGGTAAGTGATCGAGCTTTTCAAGGCGAAAAAATTAGTCTCAGTTGCTTTCTTAAACTCACGTGAATAACACGAGCCTTGGTCCTCGACCCCATCCCAAAATTGTAAAAGTGGGGGTTGGGGTAGCGGGCAAGGAAGTGGGTACTTCGGAGCTTGGTTCGGGGTAGCTCCAGAGTCGACGCAACGTAAATACAAACATTTCCCACCACTCTGAACGAACCCCCCATGCCGAGCCTAGCACCCAAAAACAGAACACATTGTTGCTGGCTACCCAACAGTTACATACCAGACACATCGGCCAATGAGTGCATCCCGTACCTCCCGCACAACAAAGTTTACAACCCCACCTACGTTCAATGTAGCCACGATAACCCTACCTTGCCTGAATTACGCACTGTTCATGAATACAGTAAATTCTTTCTGCCCGTATTTCTCGACATTGGCCGACGAATACATGGCTCATGTATTATAGAAGCCTGTTTGCGTCACTGGTTAAAGGGACACAATTGGTAACGTTTAGTGGGAAAGACAGAACAAGAAAAACCGGATCCAATAGCAATAACACACGCCGTCCTGTTCGCGGAACTTACAAAACGAAAAACAAGAACCGTCGATTTCAGCCATGTACGGTTGAGATCGAGCCGAAATGCACTGTTGAGAACTGTAGAGTTTCTTGCAGGTTGGAATGTTATCCGTAGATCAGGGAAGCTCTGAACGGTTAAGGGACGGTCAGGGATCTCAGCTGACAAACCTAAATTGGTTTCACTGGGGTTGGAATTACACCCGTGGATCCAACTAGGGTTCCATCTTCAACCGTAGATTCCTTCCCAAGCTAAGAAGCTGATCTGTAGTTGCTAGCAGAAACATTTCAACCGTCGATCTCTCTTAAGTTGGATGGTTCAGATCGAGAGATGCAGAAAAAGATAATGCTACGTCGTTTGTGATTGGTTCAAGCCCAGATTTCGGCGGAGTCCACACCACACACATAACTGAGTACATCTAACCACCAACCTTCAGTTCCTCTTATTTCTTAGCTTCCAGACATCTATTTTGCTTAGTGATAACCTCCCACCAGCAACCCTCATACCACTAGGTGAAACGTTCCTTCCCAACTCCCTCTCCTAAGCGTCTCCGTTCCCCATTCCTGAACCTAAACCCTCACACCCCCGCCGCTACCATCACACTCGTTTCAACTGGAATCGGCGTCTGCAACATGCTCGCCTGGGGTGGGCATGTTCTAAGATTACGAGAACTGCCCCTTGCCCGTCGCCGTCGACTGCACTACGCTCGTGCGTCGGCTGCGCGACGTCGCGCGCACATTCGGCGCAGTGCGGAGCGTGCGGGCGTACGAGAAGCCGAGGAGGTGCATGCGCGCATGGTGGGGAAGATGGGCGCGTGCGGCGTGGAGGTGATGGCGGACAGCAGCCATCATCGCGGACGAGCTGCTCTTCACCCTCGACGAATGGATGACGAACCGTTCAGGCCACTCTTGCTCTCTCTTGCTCAGGTGGAGCCCGTAGTTCCTAAACCGTCGGTACCATATTAAGCATTGTATGTGTTACTTGTTTTTCAAACACTAACGGTTATTGTATTTGTTGGTGGGGCCTGTCTGTCGTTGGTCCTAACACTAACGGTTCATGTGTGTTTGAGCAATTTTGCAGGGCAAAGGTTGGACCTTGCTCTGTCGTTTGTCCTTACACTAACGTTTCATGTGTGTTGGTGCGATTTTGCAGGCTTTAGGTTGGACCTTACCCTGGTAAGTACTTGGTTTTTTCTCTAACTTGTTGATTATTGACTGTTGTTTTGCAGGGCTGTGCTAATCGCTAGTTGATGTAAGGTTCGGTCACTTAGTGTAGAGAGATTTTCTTCATGGCGACAATCAAGATTGTAATTGTAGAATGTATATGTAACGTCCTATGAAATTATTGGTCAAATTCTTTCAACAAAAAATGCACCAGTTGGAATTGTTAATTGAATGCTGCAAATGGCACCAAATTCGCTGTAAAAGCCTTTTGCAAGTGCAATGTTCCTACTGTATGCTTTCCTAGGGAGTGGCTTCGAAGTAAATTTAGATTGTCTACAATATGGTTACTATACATGTATCGGGTGTAGCTACTATGTGGTTACCCTATCGCCACCCCCTATCGGGATTCGAAGTAAAATGTTTGTAGCAGAACCTATAAGTGCAATGAAGTCGGATGCATTGTGGGTGCCCCCATCGCAGCTCGCATGCAGCAACGGTGTGCCTACATTGTAGCTGATGCGGAATTTTTTGGGGGGGCCCCTTTTCTACCTCTCCCTTTCTCCCTCTTTCCAGGAAACCGCTCCGTCCTTCCAGATATGCATGAGAGAGAGTTAGGTTAGCACGCGAGTGCCAACCGTTTCTCCTCCGCGTTCGTTCTGGCAGGACTCGTCACGGCGTCGTGGTACGCGCCGTCCGAGGCGAATACCTTGTCAGAGGTCCACTGGGGATCCCCGATGATCCTAGGGAAGGGTTACAGGCACGTCGGCCTGGGGGGTTATGGGCGCACTCACCCGCTATATAAACAAGCCCTTTTATCCCAGTGGTTAGTGACTGGGATTCTGACATGGTATCAGAGCGAAGGTCTCGGGTTCGATTCCCGGTGTGTGCACTTCGGGCATCCCAGTGCGAGGGGGTGTCAGAGGTCCACTGGGGATCCCCGATGATCCTAGGGAAGGGTTACAGGCACGTCGGCCTGGGGGGTTATGGGCGCACTCACCCGCTATATAAACAAGCCCTTTTATCCCAGTGGTTAGTGACTGGGATTCTGACATACCTCGTCGACGGGGCCCACGCCGGTCAACGTTAACCTCGTCGCCTCGTCGGACGCCTCGGATTCGTCCGTCGCTTCGACGTGTTCCGGATCCGGCGACTCTGCCTCAGCCGTCGCGAAAACCACGAAACCGGTGCCAGCTGCAGTCCATGCACCTCCCGCTCACCGCGCCGCTGCTACACCCGTTTCTCCGCGCGCCTGCCGTCGGCCGCTCGTGCTGAGCGCATACGACGGTGTGCTGGACCCCGAGCTGTTCGAGAAAACCGGCGAGTTGGGGCGTGGCGGGTTTGGCACGGTGGTGGCGATGCGGCGAGTGGAGAACGGCGAGGTGATGGCGGTGAAGCGCGTGGAGCGAAAGCAGCTGGTGGCGGCGTCGAACGAGGCAATGCTTTCAGTGTCGCTGAGCGAGTGCCCGGGCGTGCTGGGCGTGCGCGAGGTGCATCTGGGCGAGCAGCACGCGTACATGCTCTCCAATGTGTGCTCTGGCGGCGACCTCCGCGCCCTGCTGCAGCGACGCAAGGCTGCTGCAAGCAACGGCGCGGGAGACGCGGGGAGAGGCAAGGGGAGGCGGTGGTGGGGGAAGGCGAGCGGTGAGGGCGGGCGGGGAGGGGGGATGGCGGAGGCGGAGGCGCTGGAAGTGGTGAAGCACGTGGGCGACGCCGTGGCGTTCTGCCACGAACGAGGCGTGGTGCACTGCGACATCAAGCCCGACAACATCCTCTTCGCCGCTCCCACGCCCCTCTCCGCGCGCCCCTCTCCGCCCCCCTGCCTCTCCCCGCCGCCGCTGCTCCTGCTGCGCCTGCGCGCGCCTCTCCTGCTGCCCTCGGCCTGTCCGCGCCCATCTCCTCAACGTGCACCTCCCCCCGCCTGGCCGCGGGGGCAGTGCGGCTGGCGGACTTTGGGGTGGCGCAGGTGGTGGCGGAGGGGCAGCGCGGGTGCAGCACTCCCGCAGGCACTCCCGGGTACATGGCGCCCGAGGTCGAGGCCCTCTGCCGCCCTCGCTGCCCTCCTGCCCCGGGCGCCGCCAAGCACGCTAGAAAAGCAGCGGGAAGAGCAGAGGTAGGAAGCGCAGAGGCAGCGGGGTATGGGCGCGCAGCTGACGTGTGGTCGCTGGGGGTGACGCTGTACGAGATGATTGCGGGCGAGCGGCCTTACTCAGGAGAGGCGCCTCAGCAGGGCGAGTGGCGCGCGCGTGTGGAGGGGGCTGCGTGGGAGGGCGTGTCAGAGGAGTGCCGCGCGCTGGTGAGTGGCATGCTGAGAGTGCGCGTGGAGGAGAGGCTCACCATGGCGCACGTGTGCAACCACCCCGCCATGATCCAAGCCTTTGGGGGCAGTGGGGGGAGCAGCGCGGGGAAGAGCAGGAGCGGGAGGTGGTGGTGAGCGTGATGGATGGATTGAGGAGGGGAAGGCGAGGGGTATTGTGGAGGAGATGGGGCAGCAACAGGGGGAAATGCAGCTCGCATAGTGTGGCGGTGGGGGGAGGCAAGGGAGAGTGGGATGAGATGGAGGCGCACCACTTTTTGCACCCTGCCTGTCAGGGTGTTTGGGATGCTTGGTGGAATCGGTGGATGGAAGGGGATGGGTGCCACCTTGCTGCATTGCTTCTTGTTCGCTCATACGTATCCGTCCCTGCTTGTTCAAGGATTGAGGCTGGCGTGTGGCTGGAATGATGCTTGCATAGGTTAGATTGTCCTAGATAATGGGTACAGGTAGCTTAAATTTCTATATTGTGAAATGTATAATTCTGAAATTGATGCAGTGCTTCGTTTTTAAAGCATTAGCACCCTCATTGCGCTATCGCCACCCCAAAACAACCCCACCAATGCTCACCACAATGTGCTGATTAATTTCATTATAGCGATCAATCGATATAAAAATATCAACGAAATTCAATTGCATGCGACTGCAACTGTATCCCCTCGCTGACTGCATCCCCACGATCCACCCCTCTCAATGCATCCCTCCGCAACTGATTGTGTCTCTTTCAGCTCAAGATGATATTGCTGCCAGTGAGTGAAGGGCAGGCATGAGTGAAGGGCAGGCATGAGTGAAGGGCAGGCATGAGTGAAGGGCAGGGACGAGTGAAGGGCAGGGATGAGTGAAGGGCAGGGATGAGTGAAGGGCAGGGTTGAGGAGAGAGTCACATGGTTGTGACCACTCCAGCCTTCCTTCCCAAACGCACAATTTTAGCAATGATGATTGTGACCCCGCTCCAGCCACTGCAACATGCCCCAAGCATCACCTCCCTGGCTCGTCCTCAAAGCTCAAATTAATATGCAGGGAACAAGTGAAGCGTGTTAGGAAAGACGCAGCCAGGACGCTGCGTCCTGCGTCTGGACGCAGCGTCCGGACGCTAGGACGCAGGACGCGCGTCCAGACGCAGGACGCACGCCGAAATTTTTTTCGGGCAGCCCGAAATTTTTTTTTTTAACCCGCGATTTCGACATTCGCGATTTCGGCGCGAATGTCGAAATCGCGAAATTTCGACCCCCAAAGCCAAATTCGACATTGTAAACCAGCCCCCCCAACATTTCATAACAAGGCATGCAAATTGCGTCTTGGGGTTTTTTTTGCCCTGCCGAGATTGCGTCTTGGGGTGCGTCTTACAGGTCCAGGTGACGTGTCCTGCGTCTGGACGCATGCGTCTGGACGCAATCGTCCAGGACGCAGGATGCGTCTTTCGACACATAGGCAGCTGCCATGGGGGGGGAGGGGTGACAGAGACAGGGGGGAAGGGGAGGGGTGGAATGGGGGCACAAGAAAGCAAGGAGAGTGGAGAGAGTAAGCTTAAAATGTGCTGAGAGATCTGGGGGCAGAGAGTAGGGAGGGGTTGGGAGGATGCCGGGAGGGGTGGAGGAACGAGCATGGGCAAGGTCGGAAGCATGCAGAGAGCTGCAGGCTGTAGTGTGCCACCATAATGCGACAGAAAAGATGGAAAGGGTGGGGAGTGTGTTTGGGAGTAGGGGGGGAACGAGGGAGGAACAGGGATGTGCAAGAGTATGTATCCCCTGTCCCCTGGCTCCTTGTGCTTCGTGCAATTTCAGGAGTTGGGCACATTTCAGGGCAGGGTAGGCAGTGACCTCGCCAAGCCAACAATAGCAGTGAGGGCCAGAGCCCGAATGCAAGGCCACGCAGTGGTGCAGCTAGCTGGTCCAGGGAAGCTGCACAGCTGCACTGCACACCCGTGCCCCATTGACTCGGGGACTTCCTCTCCGTCCAGGAGCCATGAGAGCTAGCTCTCCACCTAAGAGACCTCCGCCGCCCTTCCAGCCCTTCGTTCTTCACCACAGCGGGCCTGCAGCCGGGCTTACCACACCCCACAGACCCCTGAAGTCCAGACTCCAGCGTGCCTGCTCCTCGGCACGCACTCACCCAACCCGCCTTCTGCAGCCAGCCTACCCGCTGCAGGTCCTGCCCCTACCTGACCCGGCCACACGCCCGCCCCCCCCCCCCCCTTGCTCCCCAACAGGCTGTGCCTCCCTGTGACCGCTTAGGTCCCTGTACGATCCCCACATCCCTATCCCCTCGTACGATCCCCACATCCCTATCCCCTCGTACGATCCCCACATCCCTATCCCCTCGTACGATCCCCACATCCCTTTAAATACTCTGCCTATTCCTCGTCCACTGCCCTGACTCTACCTATAGGCGCGGCCACTCACGCATGTCCTGTGCTGGCAACTTTCGTCCCGCGTCTCCCCTACTCCTCTTCCCTGCCCATCCATTGCTTACCTGTACTGTATCACACCCCCACACTCATCCCTTGTCCCATGGCTCACCCGCAGGCGCGACCACTCGCGCATGTGCTCCCTCATCCCCCCTTCTCCCCTAGTCACTTCCTCCCCTCGCCCGCCTCCGCACCACTTCCTCGTATCACCACAAGTGCAGTCGTCTCAAAACAAGCACGATGCAGTGTTCTTGCACACCTGGCGGGGTGGTGAAGGATGGGAGAGGAGAGTGGAGGGGGAGAGTGGAGGGGGAAGGTGGGGGTTTGGGTGGTTGGGAAAGGGCGGGGCTGTTTTGAACAAGCTTGCGCAGGACCACGCAGTCCGCTGGCATACGGAGGGGATGTGGGGGACGGAGGGAAGAGGGCGATGGGAGCACAGAGGGGAAACGGCGGGAATGTTTTGAGATGAGTGTGGGGGTGTGATACAGTACAGGTAAGCAATGGGTGGGTGGGGAAGCGATCAACAAATGCTTCCCCAGCACCATACGGTCCTCCCTGACGTGGACCTCGCACACTTGCATGAAGCGAGAGGAAGGAGAAAGGGGGAAAGTGGGTGGGGGGCAAAGGGCATGGAGTGCTAAGGTGGGGGATGATGCATGCTGCGCGCACGCCTGTGCGCCAGGCGGGAATGGGGGGACGAAAGGGTGGCGGGGAGGGTTGGTGAAGTGCAGGGGATCGGGACTTGTCGAGCAAAACATGACTCTCGAGCGCAAGCCTCCCAAGCCATCGCCCCCCTTCTTTCCCTCACCAACCGACTCCTGCACCCCCTTCCCCCATCACCCCATCCTCTCCCCGCCCTCGCCACTCCCCAGCCCCACCGTTTCCCCGCCGCCCCACCTCGAGGAACGTGTCAGCAATCTCGTCGCTCATCTGCCGCCGCCGCTCCGCTTCGTGCGAGTCCTCCATCATTATGACACCAGCCGGGTTTGGGCGCGCGTGACGACATATCGAGGCGAGTGTGAAGTCAGATTGGCGCGAGGAGATCGGCGCGCGGCAGGAGGAGGAGGGGGGGAAGCAGGGAAATGAAGACAGCAGGGCGCCGGCTTGGAGGCGGCGACCCCTTCATCTGCGCTTTCATAAAGCTACTGATAACCCCCACTCTTGCCCATCCCTATCCCGCTCCTTCCGCACCTTCTCCACTACGGCCCTGGCCCATGCTGCTCATTGATGCTGGCAGGGGAGGTGACACACCCGCGCAGTGGTGATCTGCATTCAAACCATGTGTAGCTTTCGCAAATGCGCGCCGCATAACCCCAAAAAGTTTTACCGGTACCTCAAGCATCAATGAATGGGCGCGAACCGCGGCGCCTGCATCGTATCAAACGGAACGCCACTACTGCTGGTCTGGATCATAAGCACGGGTTGCTCGTAAGAGACAGTTAATTCCCAAGAATTGCAAAGCCAACGCTGGTACACTGCGTCTGCCGTGGATAGCTTGCCGCTTCGCCATATTCTGCTTCCCGTCCGTCCGTCTACCCCCACCTGCACCACTCCTGAGCTCTCCCTGCTGCACCCCAGTCAGCACCCACCGCCACTTCGCGCTGCTGCTGCTGCTGCTGCTGCTGCCTCAGCGAGTCCTTGGCTCCTGGACGCCACTGCAGACGCACACCGCATGGCAAGGGGGAAGTGTGCGAAGGGGGAAAGGAAAACAGGGGGGTTTTCGGGGGAGGGGGGAGGGGAAGGGGAGGGCGGGGAGACGGAAATTGTGGGGAGAAGTTGCGCAAGCGCTGAAGTTGTGCTAGTTGCAGCAACGCTGAAGTTGTGCATGGGCGTCGCGCCGCCGTGGCAGATCTTACTTGCGAGGAGGCACCAAGGCGCATTGCGCCTCGACGAGGAAGGCGCGGAGGCGCGCGGGGGGGGCGGGGGGGGGGGGGGGGGAGGGCGTCGCAGGGTAATTAGGAGCACTCGCAAGAGGCGCGGCAAGTGACAGCCGTTGTGGCATGATGCAAGTAGCGCGGCAAGGATGAAGTGCGGAAGGCAAATCGCAGGCGAATGTGCGAGAACAGACACAGGAGGGGGCTGGAGGGGGGTAATGGATAAGGGGGGAAATGGCAAAAATGTCCGTGTTAACACGGTTAAACTCGGTGGTCTCGCCGTCGCCATCGCCTTCGGTCGCTTTCACTTGAAGCCCGCGTTGGTCTGCCCTGCCAAGAAGAACCAATCTACCTCAATCTGCGACTATTCTTCGAGATTACGTTTGAGAACAGTTACGGAAGAAGGGCCGAGGAAAGATCATGGCCAATGAGGCCCATTTCGTTGGGGTTGGCAGTAGGCTGCGGGAGGGAGGGCGGGTGAAAGCGTGTCCGCCGTTATTTTCTTCTGATGCCTCCTGATGTCAATTGCGCGTTCGTGCTTCTTGCGTCGGCAGCGGCGGCGGAGGCGTCGTACAGGGGGATTGTGCGATGGTGAGGAGGAGAAGGATGGGGCGGGGGAGGAGGTGCGAGAGTGATGCCCCCTTCATATTTGGACGTTATACCACGTTCTTACTCCCATAGATAGTAGGGATTCACGATGAGCATCCCACGTTAGTCTACCTTATCGCTAGATCACCTTGACGAATCTTGATCGCGATAAGGTAAGTCGCTAGCTGAGCGGCTTGACCGCGGGCTGAGCAGCTAGTTTGCTATGTCGCCAGGTCGCTGGTCGCGAATGC